ACCATGAGGTCTGAGTTGCCCATCATGAACTGGGTGTTGTCTGACCCATAGAATCATAAAGTTGGACGTGCACAGCAGCACTCCATCATTAAATGGTAGTAGTATATCAGAGATCGGGTTCAAGCAGGACCTGAAGGCACAAGTTGCATGAGGAAGTGGCCCAAATGCCTATGGTCTCCACTCCAGTCACATTACCTTCCCTCTCCCACTCTGCACCTATGGCGAGTTCTTTATGATAAGTTGACTGAGGAAGAGAAAACTTGTACCTGGTTTACAGATGGTTCTGCGTGATATGCAGGTACCACTGGAAAGTGGACAGCAGTGGCACTGCAGCCCCTTTCTGGGACTTACTTAAAGGACAGTGGTGAAGGGAAATCCTCCCAATGGGCAGAACTTCGAGCCATGCATATGGCTGTTCACTTTGCATGGAATAAGAAACGGCCAGATGTGCAATTATATACAGTTTCATGGGCTGTGGCTAATGGCTTGGCTGGATGGTCTGGGATTTGAAAGGAGCATGACTGGAAGATTGGTGATAAGGATGTATGGGGAAGAGGCATGTGGATAGATCTCTCTGAATGGGCCAAAGGAGTAAAGGTATTTGTGTTTCATGTGAATGCCCACCAAAAGGTGACCTTGGCAGAGGAGGACTTTAACAATCAGGTGGATAGGATGACACGTTCAGTGGAAACCAGCCGTCCTCTTTCCCCAGCTACTCCTGTCATTGCTCAATGGGCTCACGAACAAAGTGGCCATGGTGGCAGGGATGGAGGTTATGCATGGGCTCAGCAACATGGACTCCTGCTTACCAAGGCTGATTTGGCTACCACCACTGCTGAGTGCTCAATCTACCAACAGCAGAGAACAACACTGAGTCCGCGATATGGAACCATTCCTTGGGGTGATCAGCCAGCAATCTGGTGGCAGGTTGATTACATTGGACCACTTCCATGATGGAAAGGACAGCGTTTTGTTCTTACTGGAATAGATACGTATTCTGGATATGGATTTGTGTTCACTGCATACAATGCTTCTGTTAAAACTACCATCTGTGGACTTACAGAATGCCTTATCCACTGTCATGGTATCCCACACAGCATTGCTTTGGATCAAGGGACTCATTTCACAGCAAATGAAGTGTGGCAATGGGCTTATGCTCATGGAATTCACTGGTCTTACCATGCTCCCCATCATCCTGAAGCAGCTGGCTTGATAGAACGATGGAATGGCCTCTTAAAAACATAAATATGGTGCCAGCTAGGTGGCAATATCTTGCAGGGTTGGGTCAATGTTCTCCAGGGGGCTGTATATGCTCTAAACTAGCATCCAATATATGGTTCTGTTTCTCCAATAAATAGCCAGGATTCATGGGTCCAGAAACCAAGAAGTGGAAACAGGAGTGGAACCACTATTACTCCTAGTGATCCACTCAAAAAATTTTTGCTTACTGTCCCTGTTACCCTATACTCTGCAGGTCTGGAGATCTTAGTCCCAAAAGGAGGAACACTTCCACCTGGAGACACAATAGTGATTGCACTGAACTGGAAATTAAGAATGCCACCTGGCCATTTTGGCTTCCTCATGTCTCTGGTTCAACAGAAAAAGAAGGGCATTACTGTAGTATCTAGTGTGATAGATCCTGATTACCAAGGGAAAATTGGATTGGCTTTACATAATGGAGGTAAAGGAGAATATGTCTGGAATACAGGAGATTCTTTAGGACGTCTCTTAATACTACCATGCCCTGTGATTAAAGTCAATGGAAAATTACAGCAAACCAATTCTGATATGACAGCTAATGGCCCAGACCCTTCAGGAATGAAGGTTTGGGTCATCCCACCAGGCAAAGAACCACGACCAGCTGAGGTGCTTGCTGAGAGCAAGGGAAATACAGAATGGGTGGTGGAAGAAGGTAGTTCTGAATATCAGCTACGACCACGTGACCAGCTGCAGAAACGAGGACTGTGATTGTTATATTTCTTCATTGTATATGTGCATCAAATATTTTTGTTTCCTTCTGCTATGAATTTTGAAATGTAAGTAAGGTTAATGCATTTTGGTTGTATGTGTGTTAGCATATCATGTTAGGTGCAAATATGACTTTATAATTGTTCTTATTTAGAGATTATATATGGTTAAGAAGAAGTGTACAACTGCCAAGTTCACAAGGGTGGACTGTGATAGTTGGAGCTGTGTATCAACTTGGCTGGACCACAATTCTGTGTGGTTTAAGCTACTGTGATGTGGTTATTCCCATGATGGGATCAGATGACTATGTTTGGGCAGGCAATCAGTTGAAAGGGAGTTTCCCTAGGAATGTGGCCTGCTTCCTGTATATCTATGGACATTGTGGGAAAAGAGACATTCTTCTGTGGATCAGGATTCTGTGGTGCTGCCTACAATTGTCTGTGAATGAACAATCCACCATTCAGCCTGGAGATCATGGATTTGTCACTCGTTGGAGTCAATAGCCAGTGTACTGCCTGCCAACCTTGAGCTCCTCAGCCCCTGTGGCTGCAAGAGTTGGGAAAAGCCTCCAGCTTGACGTTTGATCCAGGATCTTTGGACTTGCCAGCTTCTATAAGTGTGTAAGCCATTTTCCAAAGATAAATTTCCCTGTACATACATATACATATAAGCTTTACTGGTTTTGTTTCTCTAGAGAACCCAGTCTAACACAGCTACTGAATGAAGACTCAGCTACATGCACAGTTCAAATGTGCCAAATACTGGAGACCTTCCTCAAAGTTGCTTCTTATATATGGGAAGCAGACCACATCCCTAAAGCAGCTACTCAGCTGCTCTAGCAGATTCCACCATGGAACTGATTTGCCAGTCTCACCATGGGAAATAACTACATCCAGCTGCCCACTCACTCAACCAGGCCCAGCCAAGTTGACAACAACCCTAACTACTACACAAAGCATGATATCCTTTCTCCAGAGACTGGTCTCTTCTGACAACATGACCAAAGTAGATGAGAGGAAGTCTGGCCATTCTCACTTCCAAGGAGCATTCAGCTGCACTTCTTCCAGGACAGATTTGTTTGTTCTTCTGGTAGTCACTATGAGTCAGAATCAACTCAATGGCAGCTAACAACAACAATTTATAACTTAAAGAGGATTATAAAACATTCTTGTTAGGCTTAAAAATCTGCATTTTAAAGGTAACTACAGTAATTTAAAATACCTTTAAATTCATATACTTTTTCAAGATTGAAAATATTTTGCTAACTTAATTTTTCTCCAAATCAATAAAACTATATAATCCTGTTAAAAAAAATTTAAGTTACAAAATCATTCTGTTCTCTCTACTTAGCAAATAATGTGGTTTTTGAAAGTTGATCTTACACAGTAAATATCATATTAACTTAAAGAATATTCAACTATATCATGTAATAGTGAACAATCTGTACTCTAAAAATATGAACCGAGATGTCAAATTTATCACCTAAAAGAGAAACCTGAGAAAAATATATATAATGAAAAAGTTTAAAACATTTTATAGGCTCTGAATGTCTAATGTATGAACATTTTATCATTAATGTACCAAAGAACCAGCAGTACATGAACTTTTTTTGATCTTCCCCAATTAACTTTTAATCACTAAATAACTTTCGAACTTGCCTTCCTTAGTGGGCATTTTTGGTATTCTAAAATAAAATACTGTGTTCGTGCTCTCCCCTGACTTCTTTTTATGTTGCTTTAATGATAGACTAGGAGCTCTGGTAGCATAGTGCCTAAGGCACTTGACTGCTAACCAGAAGGCTGGTGGTTCAAATCCACCAGCCACTCCTCGGAAGGAAGGTTGGGCAATCTACTTCCGTAGTGACACTGTCTCCGCAACCAAAGGAGGGGTCACTATGAGTCGAGTCTGACTCAACGGCACATAATAACAACAACAACAAAATAAAATCAATCTATCATTTCAGTAAATGACTTTCTGCATTCTAACCTAGGTGATATTCAATACCTAAACATAAATATTATAAATTCTAAGTATTATAAAATTTAAATAGTATTGTATGCTTTTACACTATTATTTACTAATGATAGTTTACCTCTGGGAATCAATCAATTTCCAATTACACATTTTCAAGCTTAAACAATATGTGACAATTATTATCCTCAGTATAATACTCTTCGATCCAACTATTCTTTGAATTTTCACCTTAAAAATCAAACACATACTATATAGTAAGCATACATCTTTAGAGATATGCCTAGTAGTACAAATTGCTATGGTTCAGTTAGCTCAGTTTTGTCTGCCACAGATCAGTCAAAGATCTCCTTGATATCAATGGTAAATGTTTCTCCAAAATACCTTAATTTCCCTTAATAACCTCTTAAAGCTCACTCACCCACTCACTTATTAAATATTTGTATAATGTGATTTTTCATCTTTAACTCTCTTTTGGGCTAATGAGTTCCACAAATTAGTATGTATACACTATGAATTAGTATTTTCATTTATATGTTCTTCTCTCTAAGTGTAAGGGTTGCCCTCCGTCTAAGTGTTGAAGATTTGAAAGACAAATTTGCATTCTACCTCTCCAAACCATTTGTGATTTTTATATTTCATTTCTCTTCTGCTTCAGTCTACCTTCTCTCATGCAGTATACCTTCATCCTTTACAAATTCCATTGTATCTGTCTTGAAATAATCAGGGTATTAAATGTTTTTAAACTTTGCATGTTTGAATCCAAGTACTATTTCCTTTCCAAGCTCTTCTCCCACATTCAACTACAGTATTATTAAAATATAGAACTCTAGGATGATGAGAATGTATAATAATGGCCTCTTGGTGTTGTCTATTATAATTTAATGGGCTGGGAACCAACAAGGAGTTCTGAGTTCTCGTGTGTTACTGATTACCCGAGTGACCTTAAGGTGGGGGTCATTAATCTTGTTTGTGTTGAGTTCTGAGGAATAAATTTAGACTTAGTAACTTCTAAGTTTCTTCCTATTTAAAATTTGGTGATCCAAACCCAGGCACCTTACCTGTAAGATCAGTCCCTTCTGGAAATATGAGGAGTTGAAGAGGTTCACGGATATGACAAAAATAATCAATCATGTTTTCAAAATGGCTCTTGTCATCCTTCCATTTTCTATGAATGAAGATATAGGCAGCAGCCTGCATAGCCCAACCTAGGATCAATTTAACAAGCATTTAAACACAATTTTAATTTCCAATATCCACCTATCATTGAATACAGTATTTTAGTTTTACTACAAATTATTTATTATAATGATAAGCATCTCCTGATATAGCTTAAACTGATTTTGGGCCAAATGATACATACACCAAAGAATGTTCTTAAAGGGATTTGGTAAATCCTGGAGTTTGTAAACATCTTAAAAACCTCTTTTCAAGTCAAACTTATTTCTTAAAATATTAAGGTTAAAAAAAAAAAAACCCTATTTCTCAGTAACTCATCCAAGATTTTAAAAATTCTAACAAAACAGACACTTTAATCAAGCTACTTTTAAAACATAAGAGTTATGTGCTGTGAGGTTTACTGTCAGGTTTATAAGCAAATATTTGCTATCAAATCATGTATATAAGCATTCTCTTTAGTAGTTCCCCTTCTGTACTACTCAATCTCTAAATGCAACTGCTATTTTCAGTGCTACCCACTTCTTAAGATTTTATTTAAAAGGGAAAATGTGCAATTGCTATGAAACACATTAACCAAAGTGTACAATGTGGTCACATTTCCTGTCTTTAAGGCAAATCAACCCTACTTCTGAAGAGGTAGCTCTAGACAGACATGTTTTACATCACCATCCATTGGCCCATGGACACAAATGACTATAATATTATGGTAGATACCTGATCTAAGGCAGCCAACCAACCATTTGTTCGATAGCCTATGAAGCATAGAAAGTGTGGCCCAAACATCAAACTATCAAGGCCAACCAAAGGTTCTTTCAGAAATTTTACCTGGGACCAACAACTGACACTATAAAGTCAGATAAAAAACCAAACCCACTGTCACTGAGTCAATTCCAACTCATAGGGACCTTGTAGGACAGGGCAGAACTGCCCTATAGGGTTTCCAAAGTTTGTAAATCTTTACAGAGCAGACTGCTTCATCTTTCCCCTGCAGAGTGGCTGTTGGGTTCGAACCATGAAACTTCTGGCTAGCAGCCCAATGCTTTAACTACTGTGCCACCAGAGCTCCATATAAAATCAAATAGATAAGCATAAAAGAGACACAGAGACAGAAGCAGCAGAGGCTAGTTAAAGACAGCGTATTGTAATGATGATCTACAAACTTGCTGCTGAGGTGCCTAAGGCCGATTTTGATTCAGGCAAAAGTTAGTTTTAGAATCCACAAGTTATGGCCTAACTATGGATCCCTTTCTTGGATATCCACAAGAGCCCATCTCCACTACTGCCACGTGCATCATTATAATACACTTTTTATTATTTCAGGGATAAAATAGCAGGGATGAGTGGTGGTTCACTGCAAACAACACAAATAAAATAATATCTATTATCATTTGATAATACAATTGTTGTTGTTGTTAGGTACTGTCAAGTCAGTTCTGACTCACAGCAACCACATGCACAAAAGAATGGAACACTGCATGGAACTATGCCATCATCACAATCCTCATTCTGCTTGAGCCCACTGTTGCAGTAACCATGTCAATCCATCTCGTTAAGGGTCTTCCCCCTTCTCGCTGACCCTCTACTTTACCAAGCATGACATCCTTCTCCAGGGACTGATTCCTCTGACAACATGACCAAAGTACAAGAGCGAAGTCTGGCCATCCTTGCTTCTAAGGAGCATTCTGGATGTACTTCATGTAAACAGATTTCTTTATTCTTCTGGCAGTCCATGGTACATTCAATATTCTTTGCCAACACCACAATTCAAAGGCATTCATTCTTCTTTGGTCTTCCTTATTCATTTTCCAGCTCTCACGTGTATATGAGGCTAATGAAAATACCATAACAGGCACATCTTAGTCTTCAAAGTGACATCTTTGCTCTTTAACATTGTAAAGAGGTCTTTTTCAGGTCTGCCCAAGGCAATGCATCATTTAATTTCTTGACTGTTGTTTCCATGGGTGCTGACTGTGGATCTAAGTAAAATGAAATCCTTGACAACTTCCACCTTTTTTCCACTTATCATGATGTTGCTTACTGGTCCACTTGGGAGGATTTTTGTTTTCTTTATGTTGAGGTATAATCTATAATGAAGGCTGTAGTCTTTGATCTTCATCAGTTAAGTGCTTCGAGTCTTTTTCACTTCCAGCAAGCAAGATTTTGTCATCTGCATATCGCAGATTGTTAATGAGTCTTCCTTCAATCCTCTGCATTCTCTGTATAGTGCAACTTGTCAGATTATAAAATCATTGTTGATGATTTGAAACAAAAATTGCAGGAATTTATTTTGTTTGAATCAATCCAAACTATTATATTCTATTCTATAAATTTAAATAAGCAGATACAAAAAAATCCTGTTTAGTGTATAAGTCTTGCCACTAATTCACCAATTACTACTTATCCACTATATCGCCTGTCATATGCACCTTTATTGCACTTGATTACAAACTTATTTCTTCCCTCATCTTTCCTATTTCACTTGAGTATGTTTAGGCCCACAGTGTAGGCAGTGTGGTTCAGGAATGTAGGTTCTGGAATGTAGCATGTAGGCAGTGTCGTTCTGGAATGACATTGTCTGAGTTAAAATCACAGCTCTGACAACATATCAGGTATTTGGCTGTAAGCCCTTTGTCCTCATTGCCCCTAAATATAAAATAAGCATAATGTTGTAATACTCTTTATGCTATAAGGTTTGCTGAGAAAAGTAAATAAGGTAAGAACATTTAGCATAGTGTTCAATATATAACTATTATGATTACAAAATTAAAATAAAATCAAGGATATTTTATCAATAAAAATGTAACAAAATGAAAGAAAGAAAGGTTTTACTAACAAGAGAAAACAAAAATGTACAATAATAGAATTAATAGATTTTCAGGAGTCACATGAAAATAACTACAAAAGTGAGAAGAAATGGGGAGATGGATGTTTGTGAACTCAACTCAGATGCCAATGATCTCCAAATTTATAATTCATTAGTTCATGTAATACCAATGGCATGAACGCCTGTGAGAATCTGGCTATTTGATTCTAAAGACTAAAATTATTACTATTTTTTAAAAAAAATTTATTGTGATTTGGGTGACAACTTACTGAGCAAATTCATTTTCCATACAGCATGTCAATGTATGATGACACTGATTGCAATTTCCTACAATGCAACAGCTCTCTTCCCACTTCCTCCCTATAGTTACTTCTTCCTTGTGTCCTTCTCTCCCATGCACTCCTGCTCTCCTGTCTCCCTGTGCATACACAGCCCTTCTATTCTCTCATGATTGATCTCTTCAAGGATAAAGACTATAATAATAATTATTATTATTTAAAAGTGAGAATATCTAAGATAATCTTGGAATAGAAGAATAAATAACCAAAAAACTCCAAATTCACTGCCATCAAGTCAATTCTGACTCATAGCGAACCCCACTGGGTTTCCAAAGTGGTATATCTTTACAGAAGTAGACTGCCCAGTCTTCCTTCCACAGAACGGCTGCTGGGTTTGAACTACCAACCGGTTAGGAGTCAAATGCCTTAGGCACTATGCCACCAAAGAACATTGAAGAATGAATAGGAAAGACATCATTAAACATCAAGTGTATTCTGAAAGAACAATGACTAAATTAGAGTAGTATATTGGCAAAAACAGAAAGAGAAATGGAAAAGAATGCAAGGTGTACAGAAAGGTTATTAAGTAAGTAAGAATTTGGAATACAACAATGACATAACTGCAAACAAGAGGTTAGAGAATAAGGTTGGCTTCTGTTTTTAACTTTTTCTATTGAAGTAAAACTTCCAGTAAAGTGTGCAGATATTAACTGTTCAAATTTAGAGCTTAATGAATTGTTAAATATATCTATATGTGTAATGGCCACCTCCCAGATTAAGATATAGAACATTTTCAGCATCTCAAAATGTTCCCCAGGCCCTCCTCACAGTAATATTCTCTATACCCTAAAGGAAACCAATGTTTTGCTTGTTATCACCATAAATAATATAAATGAATCACAGAGTAGGTACTTTTGTCTTTGGAAACTTTGGAATAATATTTTGTCTATAAGAGTCATTCATTCTATTGGGTTTAGCAGTATTTCTTTCTTTGTATTTTTGTGTAGTCAATTGCATGAATATGGCACAACTGATTTATATTCTTGATGGAGATTTCTCAAATATCAGGAATAAGATATGAATATTCTGGTATATATGTCTTTTGTTGAACATAAACACTCAATTCTGTTGAACATATATCCAGGATTAGAACTGGTGCATCATAGTGTTTATTTATGTTCAGCTTCAGTAAACAGTGCCAGTTTTTCATGATTGTACCAGTTGACACTCATGTCAGCAATATATGAAAGTTTGAATTATTCTATTTATATCCTTAACAATAAATACTAGGTCTTAGGGGTCCTTATAATCTTAGCCATTCCAATCGAGGTGTAGTAGTTATAATTTGCATTTCCCATAATTAATTTTAATCAGCTTTTAATATCCTCATTTAGATGTTGTGTTGTTGTTATGTGCCATCAAGTCAGACCTGACTCATAGTGACCCCTCCTTGGGTTTCCAAGGCAGTATCACTACGGAAGTAGATTGCACCATCTTCCTTCCAAGGAGGGGCTGGTGGGTATGAACCACCAGCCTTTTGGTTAGCAGTCAAGTGCCTTAGGCACTATGCTGCCAGAGCTCCCCCTCATTTGAATAGGTACATGATAAAGAAGATGTCAAGAGGTTGTCTTTGGTCCCTGCCACCCTTATTCTCCACTGCCAGGGTGAGCAATACTGTTGCATTCTGTATGGTCCAAAGTCAAAAAGAATAGAATTTGATGATGTATGAAAATTGTATGAAATCCAACTTTCAGTGTGCAGTCACAAAGGTTTATTGAAATTCAGCCACAACCATTTGTTTATATATTATATATGGCTGCTTCTGTGTAACAATGACACACTAAAAGAGCTGCAAAAGAGACTGTATGGAGAAGTCTGAAATATTTACAATCTGGTCCTTTATAGAAAAATAGTCGGCCTACCTCTA